TTTCCAAGCTGTAAGTGTGCAGATTTTCAGGAGAGGGAACCAGGCAGGTCATTATAGATTGTATGACTGATCGTGATTGGTTTGTCTCAGGTGTCCTGTCACAGGTGCAGCTGACAGAGTCAGGATCTGGTCTCATAACCCTCACAGATCCCCTGCACTGCCTCTTGGTTCTCATTAACTGCCTATGGTGTAAACTGTGTTCACCAGCCTCTAGGAGAGGTTCTGTAGTGGATGGGAGTAAAGTGCAGTGTTGGAGGCACTGATTCAAACTCAGCTCTCAAATCCCATTCCCAATCACCAGGGACACATCCAAGAGGCAAGTTTTCTTAAAACTGAACAATCTGCAAACCGAGGACACAGCCATGAATATCTATACCAGAAACACACAGTGAGGAACTCCAGTGTGGGCCTGCTAGAAACGTCACTACAGTGACACTCATGACCAAAAGGGGGCCAAGGGTCCTAGGAAGACTCCCATGACAAGTCTGGGGTGGTTTCAGAATCTAGAAAATTCTGGACTCTGCTGCATGGGCATGTGATTTTATGTCAGCACCTGTGGTTTCCTCTTCCATCCATGGAAATCCTCTAGAGACCTCTCTTCTGGCATATTCTACTCAATTTCTGTGTTCACATACTAGAACAAAACATTTACCCACAATGCATCTGAGATATTGCTGCTCTTTATCCCATTCAATGGTGCATATTTTTATATAAACCATATATGTTCACCTATGTTTATACATTTACTTATGTGCAGGATATCTCAAAAGGAGTCAGCATTTTTTACATTTGCTGACAGGGTAAGTTGAGTAAAGAGGTTTGGGATTTTGAAAACTCTTTTCTTCATCCATTTCATTTTTGTATATGTGGTATAGAATCCACAGCTTCTCTAAATTGGTATCATTTTGCCAAGTAGCCATGGGAACCGAAATTCCAATAGTGTTGTTCTTCTACACCAGAAGATTCCATAAAAGGATAGAGCTGGTTATCCTGTTTGACAGATTCTATTTTGCACATGTGTATCTTGGTAAAAAAAATAGCTTTCAATAAAGTCCTAAGGAATTAGCCCACAACATATCGAATGACCAGTCTCTCTTTTTGTGTTAACTCATAAAATTCTACTACCTCCATATATGTAGACCAGTAGAGGTTCTTATTAACTGTGGTCAACAGTCATAAACACAGTATTTTAGATAATCCCTCTCATGTAACTAAGTAATCTTTACAATTACACTGTACAAATCAAGGACACTCTTCTATAATTTTAATTTCCCTGACATCCAATTCCTAGAGTACACTTGATAATAGGTCCTTGTGTTCTCTTGGTGCCTGGCTGTCATTTACAAAATATCCTGCAGGTTCATTCAGCTCTATTAGTGTGTAGACTCTTGAGAACATGATTACCCATTCAGCACTAAAGAAGCAACTGGGGATTTATGTGCATTTCCTGACATATGAAATAGCAGCTCATAACCATCTATAAGGACAGATGCACTGACTTTGTAACCATTAAATATAAACTACCCACACAGAAATACATACACATAATTATAATAAAATATTTCTGTAATTTTCCCCTTCCAGCGCTGGTAGGTATTCACATTTATGAGTTCTTAGGTGATATAGATGAGGCCTGGATACAAATGTTAATATTTCTTAGCCATATTCCTCATATTTTGACTAATAAATACTATTTTGTGATACTGCTAATCCCTGTTAAAGATTATTACCATGTCATTCCCTGTTAAAGTGTATCCATGAAATCAGCAGGGTTCTCAGATACCCCAAGGAACACAAAGTTGAGAGGTGATGTCCTCATAAACAGACATCTTCTTGCCCCCCATCCACTGATTGGAATCCTTCTTCATGACCGACACACATAGGTAGAAAAGTTTTCATAACACCAACATCTGTATCACCAGACAAATGGATATCTCCCAGGGCAGGGACTGTAGGATTCACCTTCATGTCCAGCTTCTAATCTGAGTGCTGTGGATAAAACTGAGACACTCATACTGGGATGCAGGCCCCATTCCACAAAGCCATCTCCTCCATCCTGAATTCTATCAGTACACACTTTACACATTAATGAAACTATTGTAAACTATAAAACAATACATTATATAATCATATTAATACTAAAGCTTACGTTAGTCAGAGACATTCCTATATAAATTATATTGGCTTTTCATACAAGCACATACATGTTATTGTATATAAAATATTGTGTTTCTAAGAGTTTACAATGAAGATATAACATAGTAAGGAAGCATTCATGAACCCACCTAGAATATACACTTATACACTCTAAAGATTGTATTGAAAATGGGAACAAAAATAGTGATCAACATATTTGATCAAGTACTCTTTCCAAACATATAATCAGAATGCTCCATGGAGCTTATTTGCTAAGATTAAGATGTGTTAGATTCATGGGAATTTTTTTAGCTAGATGGGAACTCTTACCACACCCACATAACTCCATGTGAAGGTAAATGCACCTCTATTTCCACAGATGATTCTGAAGTCCTGAGTGTGCTCCAAGACTCTGTTTCATCCAGAGGCATATCAGTGAACATGAGTGAAACTCAGGCTCAATTACTTTGGGCTGGAATGACTGTAGAACCAGGGCTGGCCTTGAAGTTGCAGGAGAAAGGTGTGTAAAAGAGAGAGGCTCCTTGAAGGTCAGATAGAGAGGCTCCTTGAAGGTCAGACAAACAGCCGTACTACACAGAATTCATGTACTTGGTACTTAAAAAAGCAAATGATTTTTAAAAGAGAAAATCACATATTCAATTATTGGTTTTTAAACCAATTATTGCCAATATGAAAATTAATAACATGAAGCCAATCTTCTAAATAGCTTTAAAACTCAGCATGTGATGGAATTGATCACATTGGTTGACAGGAAGGTTCTAGGAAAAGATGAAGGAAGGGAAATAATGATCATAATATTTTGTGTGAAATAAAATGTTTTCCAACTAATTATTTTTTGAAATGCTCCATGAGGTGTTTGGAATGGCGGTGTACACTCTTAATCCTGTCACTGGGAAGACAATGACAAGAAAATATCTCATACTTCTATATCAGATTGGTATACATAGTTAGTCCAGTCCATCCAGGGTGACCTTCTAAAATGACAGGAAGTCAGAGATTCACTTCATCCACCTATGCATATCTGTTTCTTCCTTTGATGTGATGCTTTGTGTGTGTTTGTTTCATGATAACATAGCCCACTAAATGAGTATACATTTGTCGAGCACATAAGTAAGCAAGTGACTGACCAAACACTTAAGAATAAGAATCCTCCTATCAAACAGAAGAAAATTATAAAAATGATTGCCTTCAGTATAAATAATTTACCTTAGAAAATTGCCTATTCTTAGAGGCTTCCTTTAGGGGACTTATGGAAAAGAGAAACTCAAGGAACAAGGAAATATAGAATATTAATACAAACAAATTCTAGAGTAACCAAACACAAAAGTACTTGCTAAATAGACTCATGCCAAGTGCTTCAATATAGTAAGAGCAATGTACATTCATATTTGTAATAATTCTTCCCAGATTTTTGTTACCACAATGAAAATATCAGATAACCCCAATATGAGATATACTGAGAATAACGACTGAAAAATGTTCAAGTAAAAATCAGAGCACCAGGCATGGGGGACACTGCCCTCACAGTATAGGAGGCCATCATTGCTTGAATGAGATGGCTGGATCACTAATGCTCACACCAGTCTCTACCTCTGCCACTCTGAGGACAAAGATCATGCACACACATAAATGGACACAGATGTGGGGTCTCCCCAACAAGCACCAAACAGACATTCTCTGAGAGCTGACTGAACTGGTTGGCTCCATCTCTGCACTCACTTCCCCAGTGGAGTTTATTTCCAAGGCACAGAGCAAATTCTTCTCCTCTGTGGTCTCACACAGCATACTGAAGACTGGGAAGGTGCTTTCCTGCCATGAGAGAATCCAGAATGAATTTGAGACTGTGACTGTTGGGTGTTCTGATTTCTGTTATGTAGGCTTTGTAACTAGAAAGGAAAAGGCAGGAAAAGACATCTTAAGTGAAGGAGAAGAGGATCAGGGTACAGGGAAATGCTGGAGTTTTGAAAGGAAAAGATGGGTGTGTGAGAGAAACTAGATGGGTAGGTAGGAAGTGTGAGAACTGCGGAAACTAAAATTAATGTCATATAAATGCCATAAATTTGTGTGTTGTTATAGAAAATTATGAAATGTCCGATTAGGTTGACTATATGAATATGGAGAAATAAAAATTGGCCTAAGACAGTAATGCATTACCTAGTGTGAGGTAGAAAATGGAAAGTGGAGTGGGGATTATAAAGTGATCATAAGGAAAACTCAGGAGGTGAAAAAGTGAGTACAGAAAATATAAAATGTCTCCATAGGAACCACTGAGAGGACGACAAACAGTAAAAAGGAGTGCCCCACATGTAGACTTCCTGAGGCCTTAGGACAGCATTCTGTCAGAAAAGAGTAAAATCCAGAAAGTCTCAAGTGTTCCTGTCGAAGGGAAGGAGTTCTGTTAGAGGCAGCAATGACCCTGTCCACTCTCCACCTCAGGGAGAAGCCGTGTCCAACACAGACAGAGGGAGAGACTGAGCACATATCTAAAAATACAACACTGGTTGCAGCGTTTCAAATTCTCACTAATAATTAGGAGACATGACAGTGTGCAAACACAGTGTGTGCTGTGTGTATCCTAAAAAGGAACTAAATTAAGTGTGGTGAATTCTTCACATGGAAAATGTGTGCACAGAGAAACGTTACTCTGTCAATTTCTGTGTCTGTCATCAGTGCAACTGATTCCTTTATCTGCTCTGATCATCCCAGGTCCGTCTTTAGAGCCTGCTATAGCAGGAAGACATGCAAATGAGGCTTCTCTGTGCCCATGAAAACCAGCCCTGCCCTGAACCTGCAGCTCTGACACAGTAGCCCAGCCCGGGATTCTCAGATCCTCCCCTTCTGTGATCAGCACTGAACACAGGCCACTTGCCATGAACTCAGGACTCAAATTAGTTTTCTTTGTCCTTATTCTAAAAGGTAACTTATGGAGACAGACAGCTGTGTGTTCTGTTCACAAGAGAGAAAGAAAAAAATAATTAGCTTCTGTGACAGTTTTCTGACAAGAATTTTCTGTGTTTGCAGGTGTCCAGTGTGAGGTGCAGTTGGTGGAGTCTGGGGGAGGCTTAGTACAGCCTGGAAAGTCCCTGAAACTCTCCTGTGAGGCCTCTGGATTCACCTTCAGTAGCTTTGGCGTGAACTGGGTCCGCCAGGCTACAGGGAAGGAGCTGGAGTGGGTCGCATCCATTAGTAATGATGGTAGTAATAACTATTATGCCAACGCTGTGAAGGGCCGATTCACCATCTCCAGAGACAATGCCAAGAACACACTGTTCCTACAAATGAACAATCTGAAGTCTGAGGACACTGCCACATATTACTGTGCAAGAGGCACAGTGAGTGAAAGCTGCTGTGAGCTCAGACACAAACCTCCCTGCAGGATGCTCAGGACCAGCAGGGGGCGCAGAGAGCACAGGTTCCTCTGGGTCAAGAAGAACCTGTAGAGAAGGGTATAAAGGACTGGACTCCTCTGTGTCTGGGCTGCTGCTCCATGTCACAGTCGGGGATTCTTTCTACAGGCGTGGTGTCCCAGAATCCTTGAAGGGTCCACAGGTTTATTTACTCAAATTTCAGTTGTCTGTGGATATGTGTGTCTATTATAACCCTTCCCTCTGTTGCTGTCTCTCTCTCTGTCTTTCTTTCCCTTCCTTCCTTCTGGTCTCCCTCCTTCCCCCTCCCTCCCCCCCTCTCTCTATATATATGGTTGGTGTGTTTGTGTGTGTGTGTATCTTTGTGTTTGTGTACATATTGGTAGGAGGTGACTTCCTCTATCACTCTGCATCATGTGTTTGAGACAAGTTTCATCACTGGCTCTGAATCTCACAACTTGCGTAGACTGGTTGCCCAGTGAGTGCCAGTCATCACAATGATATATGCCTCAGAGGTGGGCTTACTGGTTCTCTACCAAACCTACCTCTCTTTATAGTTACCGAGGACTAAACACAGGTCCTTGTTCTTGTGTGATTAGAACTTGAAACACAGAGCTATCTCTACAGCCACATTACACAAGTTTTTCATGAAGGATGTCTCTGACTTGAACACCAGGCCTAGAGTCACACAGGGCAGATGATTCTGTATGGGGACCAGGGTCATATCCTAAGAAACAAAGGCCCCTTGAGATTGTGGAGCCCTAGACTCATCGCAGAGACTCAGTAAGAGTCTGGGTTACAGCACTGTGTTGGTTCAACTTAGGTAAAACAAGCAAACCAGGCAGGTGCAGAGATCCATGACCCGGATGACCTTCAGTCTCTATGTCATCGTCACACAGGCTATGGGCAACAGACCCAGTGCTGCCACTGCTGTGGTGTCAGTAATAACATGGGCATGAGGCCCCAGCACTGAGTCATGAGGTCACTGATGCTAGTGACACTCTGGGTATCAGTTCTCTGCAAACAGCTCCTAACCCACTCATGGGTAATGTGTAACTTTTTGTTTCTTTTCCATTTTTTTCTTAGTGGTTAGCTTGTACAGTTCCACAAAAACTTAATGTGTGTGATGAATTTTCTTTTAATCTATTATTCACTTTTCTTTCCTACAAGCTTCTAGGTGTCTTACATAGGCTGCTGTAGAAGAAACACCATGTGTAGGACCTCTGGCTAATTCTGAGCTCAGGTTCTTTATCTGAAGCTCAGACCACTCAAGTTGTGGCTCTTACAGGAACCAGAATGTAGCATTTTCCTCAAGTGTTGTGGGATCGCATACATAGTCATTATGAAGGGTGCTGGGCACTGGAAGACAGGAGAAAATGTTTGTTCAATGAAAGCACCATGTCAACTGGGTACTGATCTAGGTCTGTAGGATTGTGATGGAGTGGTGTTGCTGTGATGGTGGACAGAACACAGTGGTGTCCTGTGAGTTCTGGGGAAGTGGCCTGGAAAGGGCCTGGTTACTTCATGTTCACCAATAGAAAGTGGTTCTCATTTTCAGTAACTTTGTTAAGTTTCATTTTGGTAGGATATTTGGAAGGATGAAATTGTAAAAAAAAATATATATTACAAGTGTGTCTTCTGCAATAAAAATTTGCGTCCTTTGAGAGAAACGGAAGAGAAGAGGATATTGGGTAATGGAAGACTGGCTGGTTCAGGGGATGTCAGGGAGAATTGATTGATTCTCTGCTCTTGCAGTTATTTATAAAGAAGTTCAGCAAGGAGAAGAAGGAGTCTTTGAGGCACAGGTGTCCCAAAGCAGCCCAGCCTCCCAGTCCTGTGTCTGCTCCAGTGTCGCTATAGAGCTTAGCTCACTGAAAGATAGCAGCAAAATGGTTATTCAGTACACATTTGTCCTAAAAGAACTGACAGACATGAATCTGAGTCAAGTGTGCAGTGAAGACAGGCCCTGCTTCAGGGGATCTCACCCCATCACTGACTCCAGTGTGCAGTGAAGACAGCCCTGCTTCAGGGGATCTCATCCCATCAGAGGAAGGAAGGCAACATGGACAACTCAGGCTCTCATCTGATGATTGGAGGAAAAGTGGCCTCACTGCTGGGATGGGGGTCATCAGGATGATCAGGGCGCTCTCCACCATGTGAGAACACCCTGACACTCGTTCTTCTCAGACAGAGATATGTTTCTTTTCCTTTTTTAAATCAGCAATACATTTATTTTTGTCAAGTTATGAATTAACCAGAAAGATAAATATAAAAATGACAAATACAATTTAATTAGTGTTTAAAAGTATTTGGTTTTACAGAAGTAGATTTGAATCTTTGGTGTCTGAGAAAATGTTGATTCTACCACAGATCCCCAAAAGAAAATGGATTTCTCTAGAGGAAAGAGCTTGAGTCTGAAAGGATGAATTGATGCATAGCTATTTATAATAAAAATATAGAATAGATGTGTGTAAATGCATTTGAAGAAATAAGTCTGTTTTTTATATTTTTCTCTTAACATGAGATTCTCAAACAACAGAAGCTCAGAGCCCTTGACATGACTCAAGCCTCAAAGCTACTTACATAGTCTGTTAGCACTTCTAGAAAAGCCTTTTGACCTTGGCCTTTGAAAGGACACATCACTGTTTTAGATGTTGCACTCGAAGCTCAGAGTACAAAAGCAAAAGTTTGCAAATACACTTCCTGAAAACTGAAATGCTTCTAAAACAGAGAAAGCAACAAAGTGTGGAGAAACTTAAGAGGAAGGAAGTGTACAGAGACCACACACCCCACGGAGAATTTTGTTAGTTATTCTTTGGACCATGATAAAATACCTGAAAGATTTTACTCATGGAGTCTGTTATTTGCCTTTCTTTTGCTGGAATAAGATATCTTAACCAAACCAATTTACGGGACCAAAGGTTAATTTTAGCTTAGGGCTTCAAGGGAAAAGTCTGTAACGGTGGGGAAGGAGGCGGCCAGCCAGCCTGAGGAGGAAGCTGAGAGCTAACATTGTAACCACATACAGGAGGCATCGAGAGGAACCGGAAGTGCAATAGGCTATAAACTCTTAAAGATGCCTCTAGGGATGCATTTCTTCTACCAAGTCTCCACGTCCCAGAAGTTCCAAAACCTCTCACTCTAGCCACAAAAGAGAGGAGTCATTCATTTGAGCTTATGGTTTTTCCTTGCTCTAAGGTTCAGACCAGGTCATAGAGAGAAGTCAGGATGACAACCTGAAGCCCCCATGTATAGTCCTGAGGCCCTACACCTGCTAGATAAGCCATGTCTGAAAACTTCTATATCATTCCAAAACTTGGACCCAGGTGATAATGCATATGAAACTCTGAGTGCTAAGAATAAGATTTCATATCCAACACATAGCAGAGTGCAGTCCCAAGTTAGGAATTTACACCACAGTACCAAGTCACATAACTTACTTAAAAAATGGTCAAAGAGATGATTGAATACCTTCCTCAATGAAGGCAACAAATGACAAACCAGAATGTGAAAAGTTGTTCAGCATCAAGCTGAATAGTTTTAATAATATGTTTTTAGAAAATGTTATCCTAGATTTCTAGAAGTACTCTGTGTGAGGATGACTATGTTAGCCATACCTTTCTAGGGGAACAGAATAGGTGGGATGAAAATGTCTTAAAAGGGGCATATTAAATTGGCTTACATGATATGGTCTCAGGCCTCATACAGAGATGCTAAGGATATAGCAGTTGCTCGTTTCACTAGACTGGATATTTCAGTACTCCTAATCTGATGCTGATGGTTTGAAGATACTTCAAGAGCTCTTGGTATGCTGTCTATGTTGGAAGCCCAAGCTGCTGATTTTTTTGTTTTGATTTATTATTTCAAATACAGAAAAACTTGCTTCACATGTCAATCCCTTCTCCCTCTCCCTCATCCTCCCTACCTTCCCCCCAAACTCCCTCCTGCCCCCACCCAACCCCCTCCACTCCCCTGGTAGGTATGTCCCTTGATGGGGGCTCCCCAAAGTCCACCACATCATCCAGGGAGGGGCTTAGGCCCTCGACCATGTGTCCAGGCCAAGAGAGCATCCCTTTACGTGGGATGGGCTCTCAAAGTCCTTTCTTACACCAGGGATAAATACTGATCTACTACCAGGGGCCCCCTAGAGTGGAGAGGCCTCCTCAATGACATCCACGTTCAGGAGTCAGGATCAGTCCTGTGCTGGCCTCCCAGACACCAGTCTGGGGTCCACGTGCTCCCCCTTGTTCAGGTCAGCTCATTCTGTGGGTTTCACCAGCCTGGTCCCGACCCCTTTGATCTTCATTCCTCCCTCATTGCAGCTGGTTTCCAGAGTTCAGTTCAGTGTATATCTGTGGGTGTCTGCCTCTGCTTCCATCAGCCACCTGATGACGGCTCTAGGATGGCATAAACATTAGTCATCAGTCTCATTATAGGGGAAGGGCATTTAGGTTATCCTCTCCATCATTGCCTAGATTGTCAGTTCATGTCATCCTTGTAGATCTCTGGAAATCTCCCTAGTGCCAGATCTCTCCTCAGACCTATAATGGCTCCCTCTGATACAGTATCTCTATTCATGCTCTCCTCTTTTCTTCCCCCCACTCAACATTTCTGCTCCTCGATTTCCTCCTTTTCCCTCCCCTTCTCCTCCTCTCATTCTGCCAGCTCCCTTTCCCCTACCCACATGCTTCCAATTATCTCAGGAGATCCTGCCCCTTCCCATTCCTGGGGTCCATGCATTTTTATCTTAGAGTCCTTCTTGTTTCCTAGTTCCTTTGGTAAATAGGAATGTAGGCTGGTAATCCTTTCCTCTATTCCTAAAATTCATAAATGAGTGAGTACATACCATGTTTGACTTTTTTGACTGGGTTACCTCACTCAGGATGGTTTCTTCTATTCCTTCCATTTCTGTGAATTTCAAGATTCCATTGCTTTTTTCTGCTAAGTGTACTCCGTTGTATTCATGGACCACATTTTCTCTTTCCATTCTTCAGTTGAGGTGCATCTAGCATCTAAGTTGTTTCCAGATTCTGGCTATTACAACCAATGCTGCTTTGAACATGGTTGAACGTATGTCCTTCATGTATGAACGTGCATATTTGGGTATATACAAAGAGAGGAATTGCTGGATCTTGAAGTAGACTGATTTGTAATTTTCTGAGCAACCGCCATA